CGTCCTCTCTCTCTCTCTCTCTCTATCTCTGTATTAATGTGACTGCATGCCACCTCTGTGGAGTCCACTGAGTATGAGCTTAGGGTACGAGGGAGATTGCATGCATGGGGACGATCACGTGCATGCATGGACAAGGAGTGAGATCAGTGCATGGCAAAGCCCCGAAAGAAAGAAAAAGGAAGGATGAAACCCTACAAAGAGAAAGAGAAAGAGTGAGTTAGGTGACAATAACTAAGTTAGACGACAGTATAACTTGAGACGACACCAATCATTAAGGGTGATGCCATTAGCACTTGGAAATATCATAGCACATGAGACTAGAGTCTTTCCAAATCCCATCTGAAATCTTTCTCTTCCCCATATATCTCTGTGTTTTGTGGTCTTGTACGTAATCTCACACTTCAGTTCACGTGTTGCTGCTGCTGGTCTCATAATTCAAACTTCGAGGTACCCATTTCTAATTGTGAAGAGCACAACCAGTCCTTCCACCCTCTGAAGAAACACCAAAAGTGGAGAAGTGTCAGCGTCAGGGTGAGAGGAAGAAGAAGAAGATACCAAGTGCCACACACATCCCTGGTTTAACCCTTCCATTTTCTTTGTCTTCAACCTTTCACTTTCATCTCTACGTCTCGGTCGATTTCCTGTCACCCATTGCTGAAAAGGAAAGCCGAAGGCCAGCAGCCAAGTACAGGCTTCACATGAGATGCTGCAGAGGTGTATGTGGATTGTGTGAGGAGTAATGATATCTAGTGAATTATTATGGGTAGAGAGAAGCAGTACTGGTAACTGGAAGAGTTTAGCCAAGGGGAGAAAGCATCTCCTTCTCTGGTGCTGTGTGTGATGGATGGCTTGATACCCTTTGGGACCAGCTGAATGCCATCTACTACAGGTCAAAAGCAGGAAGCTGAACTTGGTCTGTGTGCTGAAACCCTATTTCCTTTCGTGCTGAAGGCTTGGATTCTAGCAGAGCACCTACCTCCTGTTCTATTATTGAGAGAGAGAGAGAGAGAGAGAGATGAAACAGCTGAATGCCAACTACTGCAGGTTAAAAGAAGCAGGCACCAGAACTTGGTTTAAGATGAAAACCAATACCCCTCTCATGCCAAAGACTTGGAGGCTAGCACCTACTCCCTTTGCTATCATTTTCTTTTTGTCTGAGAGAGAGAGAGAGAGAGAGAGAGAGAGAGAGAGAGAGAGATCCTGGTCAATTATCATTTGACTTCAAACAAATCAAATATAAGTTATTGTATGTTCACTTTTTCTTTCATTCATTATCCATATTTTACACTCAAAACTCATCTAATGTGTGCTCCTCCTAATCCTAATATGTTTGTTTCCATACAAATATACCACTTCATTGCTTGTAGAGACCTCACTTTCATAGTTTAGTGCAGTAATTTTTTACACCCTTGAAATCCTCTGAGCCTTTAACTCTGTCATGATCCTGTGACTTTTTGACTCCAATTCTTCCTAGGAAATTAACCAGCATCTCTTTGATGAAATCCAGAATGATTTGGCCACAACCTCCAAGTATCTTCTGGATCAAACTAACATGCTAATAAAGAACAAGAGGCTTTCAGTCTTCTTCCATCATGCTAATAAAGTCTGGAGCTGCTCCATGGAGATGTGAAGTCCCTCTCATCATAAATGCCCTTTTCTGATCCAAAGGACCACATGCATGCAGATACAACCAGATTTATGCTTCCTTCAATGTTGTCACAGATATGGGATGACATTCATTTCAAATGACCATCTATTTAACATAAGAAGCTTTAGCCTCTTTATGAAGTTATAGTCAGTTTATGAAGCTGAACAAACAGATGAATGAGGACTGAACTGAACATTTTTATCAGTAAAAGGAAGCAGTAATCCATCAACTTCATAGGAATCCATCAACCCTTTTTGTCCCACCTCAATTCATCCCTCAGTCTCACCTCCCCAATACTGTGTCATATACACACAAAAGGAGTTGCAGAGGTTTGATAAGGTGTTGTGGGAGTGAAAGCTGAAACAAAACAAACACAAGAGTGGGTCCTTCTGCACCAGAGGCAATATTGAGTGGTGTTATGCTTCGATCAGGTCTGATGGAACTCTGATGCCATTCTTATGCTGCACACTGGATGGGCAATTTTGCTATCTGTGGTGGGAATCCTGATGATGCTGCAAACCGAGTGGTGGCAAGCAATTGCGACGATGGCACCGTGAATCGTAGCTGATCTCCATGCCTTGTCCCTGTTGTTCGCCACCATTAGACAGTGAGAGCCATCTGCTGAATCTTTCTCCCTCCCAGCCGCCATGATGCTGCACCTGCAAACAAGCATGATCCTGAGATCGGTCTATGGTGAATCGAGAAACGGAAGCCAATTGAAGGGACGCAACACACTCGATAAGAATTTACGGGATTAATTTGCTGCGGGACGATCTGGACCACCGAGGACATATTGATGCTTGCTTGCAGTGGCATGTAGCTCAATGTCTCGTTTGTCTGGGCAAGATTCGGAGATTGAATGAAGGCATTGCTGTGGTGGTGATGGTATCTTCTGCTGCCTTTAGCCTCAGGCAGCTTAAGCTTGTCATCGAACTATAGAGAAACAGATGCCAGTTCATAGAGGCCGAGTTGGAAGGAGCAGCCGTAAAAGATTTGGTTCAAGAATTAAACCTTCAGCATCATGCTGCTGTGCCAATCCGAATCAGAGGCCATCTGCTGTTGCTGATCAACAATGTTGGAGCCTTCGTCGTCGATTGTTTCAGTGCTACTCCTTTTGGAGCCTGATCTGCCCAAGCTCAGGTCGAGATTGTGCTCGATAGGATTAGCTGAAAGAGATTTTACTCGCCCGATTAGAGGAATCAACTCACAGATAACAGGACGTGATAAAGTGCGTAGTCTCTCACGCTGAGTGTCAAGCTCGTTGTCGTAGATCTTAGGTTCGAAGTTGGTGATCGCGTCCTTCCCGTTAAACTTGATTGCAGCCTTGTCATAAGCCCTGGAAAGGAATCTGAATCAAGGCCACCGTTTCTTTTAGCTTCCTAAGAAGTATGATCCGAAATATACCTAGCAGCTTCGATTTCGGTTTCAAAGAGTCCCAGGTAGACATATCTGTCGAACACAAAGGCGGAATGCGTTAAACAATAGGAACAAGCATTTGATGATTGAAATCATTCTCGTGATTGAAAAGATAGAACAAATTGAGGGAAGCATGGCAGCTAAATCATAGAATGCGATAGAAAGAAATAGAAGAGGCATACTTTTTGCCCAAGAACTGACCCATTCTGGCCTCCCACCTCCCACATTTGTGCAAAGTGACTCCCCTGTACTTGGAGCTCCCTCTTGGATACCCACTGCTTTGGCGTCGGAGCACTTGAACGAACTCCTCCTTGGTGACATTGCCCATCTACCACGAGCCATCAACACACATTGGTTGGATTATAATTCATCCTTGTACATTAAGGTGATGCGATAAGAGGATTGCATTAGATCACGAACAGCCAGCACGAACTCATATCAGAGCTCACGAGCAAGAAGACGACTCTAAAAAGTTGGAATATCGTTGTTGGACACCACGATAGAGCAGCATAGGATCCTAAAGAACTAATTTTCCGTCTTCCCTTCCCTCACCTGTTTCATGTCGTCCTCATAGTCATCCAAACTGAAATTTATATCAGCATCCAACCCTCGAAACTTGATCGCAGCTCGGTCGTATGCTCTGCTAAAAGTAATCTCTCAAACTTAGAGCTCTTGGAACACCAAGAGAAATCGAAAAAAGAAGAACTTGATCAGTAACAGAGCGTGATGAACCCACCTTGCTGCTGCATATGCAGTGTCAAATCCACCTGCAAACACGTTTACATGGCAAAACAATCAACAATCTGTAGCTATGTCAATTCTAATATGTGCAAGTTGAATCCAAAAGTCTTTCCTAACTCAAGAACAAAACCGAATCTTTCAATAGCTTGGGAAATTTGATGGGGTCTTAGCTCATACATACCCAAATAGACTTGCTTTCCGCAGTCCCTGCTCACGGAAGAGAGAATGTCGATTAGATATACTCGCAAACATGAGCAGAGACATCGTCGGGATTTGCAGAGAAGGGAGGATAAGAAGAAGAAGAGAGAGAGAGAGCTGACCAGATATGGGATTCCCACCGCCCGGTCCTCCGGTAGAAGGTCACCCCCCGGTACTGAGAACTCCTGGACCTCGGACCTCGTCGGCTCTTCTTCACCGGCGGTGGCGCCTCCGCCACCGTTCCGGCTACCACCTTCTCGGACGAGTTGCAGAACCTGACTTCAGCAGAGTGGGTGCGAGGAGACGGCGCCAACGAGCACCCCCCGGCCCGAGCCCCCTCCACGTCGTCGAAAGGAAAGAACTGGTGAGTCACGACGGCGGTCTCGCTCTCGGCGGAGGAGCTCTCACCGCGGCACCCGGAGATGGAGAACCCGAAGATTCTCCCGGCGCAACCGTCGGCCTCCTCGGACGCTTCGACGACGACGACGGAAGAGCCAGAATCGTCGTTCTCAGCCTCCGGGGAGGCGGCACCCGCGGCCTTTCCCTTCCCGTCCCAGCCGCTGTCTCCGGCGGCGGCGGAGGAGGCCATTGGCGATGAGCCGTCCTCCTCCTCCGACGCGGCGTCGTTGAGATCCCACACGCCTTCCATCTCTCTCGCCTGGTAAAAATCACACCTTTCTCGCCTTCCCAGCCTTCTCCACTCCCAAAGATGCAATCTTTGCCTTCTCCCCCTTCGTTTCACGCAAAAATATGTTCTTTTCGGAGCCAACAGCTCGCTAGCTCAACAAGTCCCTATCAACGATCAATACATGCTGCTTCCCCCCCCTGCTTCCTACATCGCCAAAACCACAAGGCGAAGGACATTGGAGACTGGTGCGAATAAAAAGCAGCAGAGGAGGGAAGATCGACGCCAAAAGGCAAGAGCTTTACAAAACTTAGTGCCCCAAAGTTAGGCATCAGCTAAAAGAAAGACACACAAAAGCAAGGAGCTTTCACCAGTTTGTGCTGTGTGAATTGACAGCGAACGATTTATCCTCTTATCTTTTCTCGCCTTTCCTGGAGGCGAATGGTATCCTTTAGTTGCCTACATACTTTCTCTCTCTCCTCTCCTCTCTCTCCTATCCATCTCCCTCACCTCGTTGGTGCGAGCTGTTTCCACTCACTCCAACACCGCCTTCTTTTATCGTCGTCGCGCCTTCCTCGCCCTGCCTTGCCTTCCCCCACTCACTGTTAACCAAATCGAAAGAAAAGTATGCGATTGGCGTCCCGTCGCCAAAACGATCTCATCAATTATATATATATTTAATTATTTTATATCATTATTCTTGAAATATCATATTTTTTAGTAAATATTATAAATCTATTAAAAATAATATATTTCAAAAATAATAACAATCAAATAAATATAATATATCATATTTTTAAATAGACTTATAATATTTTCAAGACATTATAAATCAATTAAAAAATATTTATAAATCGAGAAATTTTGATCAATTTATTTTATGGATCGATCCACCATAAAAAAGACATAATTATCTTTTAACGTTAAAAGTATTACGGGGAATATGGTTAATTTAAAGAACTCATGGAACCAATACAAAAAAAAAAATCACAGTATTCTTAACCTATGGTATTAAAAGAAAGGCAGTGAGCAATAATAAGAAACATGAGAAGAGTACATGATCGACGTTCGATCAATAATTGGAGTTGCCGACAAAGGATTAAAATATTTCTTGATTAGAAAATCACGTGTTATTCTTCCATGGATACATTTGTTGTGCCAAAGAATGCCTCTTTATTTTATTATTATGCATATTATTTTAATCTCCTTAGTCCTATGCACATATAAACATGTTCATATAGCATTTTATGTTTCTTAGAATGGCGATTTTTCTTTCTTTTTTTTAAATTAAATTATATTTTTAAAAAATTGATTGTTATTCTTTTCTGTCTGTTTTGATCTCTTATAGTATTTTTGACTAGTTGTTTTGTTTTGATCATCATAATAAAAAAATACTATAAAATCTACTTGAAAATATTGTGAATGAATCATAATAATATGTATAATTCAAATATATATTTATAATAGTTTAATAATAACATTACCCAAATATGAATTAAAAAATTAATATATTATATTATTTCAGTCATCATAACAAAAATACTTGAAAAACACTGTAAATGATCAAAATACACTCCTAACCTTAATCAAACTTACTATAAGTTTAAAAATATAGTATTGTAAATGATAACCAAAGAGGCGTAATATGATTTATAATGTTTTTGCTAACATCGTAAATGAGTCGAATAAAAATATTATAATGGTTCAGAACTAGTGAAAATAAAAAAATTGGTGAGGGATATTTTTTTGAATTAGGGATACTACATGAGAAAAACTAAAAGGAAAGGCATTGTTCCAAAAAAAAAAAAATCCCAAAGTGAAAGATTTTTTTTCTAAGAGAAATCATCCTATAGAGAAATCACAAATGAAAAAGATATGACATCATTTAGGTTTTCCTTGTAAAGATATATTGAAAATGGAATTGATTTATTGTTCCTCATATAGTAGTGTTATGTTAGAAAATGCAAAAAAAAGAGAAGATTAATCAGTGACCAAAGTGAATGCTATAGTAGAAGAATAATTATTGAGTTTATGAACATTTTGAGGTAACAAAGGTAAATGAGTTGTGTTTCTTTCACTTTTGGAGGTGGAAGCATGAAGACATGTATAATAAGAATGCTTCTTATACATGTAAAAGGAAATAGTTTGAATCTTATGCTATGCATGTGTTAGATAATAACAATACAAATTAAATGATTAATTAAATTAATTAAATATTTTAAACTTTGAAATTTTCTTATATTTAGTTTTTCTATAAAACTCTCTGGACATATAATCTACGTAAGAAATAGATTTATTAATAATATATTTTTTCCTATAGAGGATAAACGATAAAGATAAGATTTCATTATAAAAGATTATTATAAATAGTTTAAAAAATCTTAATCAGCTTAAGCTTGTAGAGGAGATTTTGAATTTTTAACTTTTTATGAGTTAAATAAAAATTATCAGATAAAATTTTGAATCCTCAACATTCATTATCATGAATGTTGACATACTATTCAACCTTGGGATTAATATTGACGATGTTAATAAATTATAATTTTGATAATTTGATTTATTGGACTTCTTTTGTCATGTTTAAAAAAAAAAAATATTTTATTGTCAATTAAGTAATATTCTTTTTTTTTTTTCCCACATCACTACAATCTTTCTTGACAGTGTTATAACCCAATTTATTTGGATCATTTTTTTTCCTATTTTGTAAAAGAAAACAAGGTTGGATTTATGTTTTCTTAATTAGAAGAAAGTTATTATTTATTTATTATTATTATTATTATCATCATTCTAAAAGGAAGAAAGAGAATATATATATATATATATATTAATAATAATAAAGAAAAAAAGAAGGTAATTAAATGGTAATAATATAGGCTTCGGACAACAAGTCAAAGGGACTGCTGTCATTTCCACAAACAGGTGGCAGAGTAATTTAAGAGAGCAACAAGGTGTCCTCATCCCCCACGGCAGCGCCCCACAAAAGAGGCGGAAGGATGGAAAGGCTTTCCGCAATAGTCCAATCCAAGAGGAACGGTGCGGTCCACGTTTTCCTCCTTTTGGCGATGTCAAGCGGGCCAGCCGCTTTCTGATGAGCTCCGGGGGGCTGCTGCGGTGGTAGTAACCTCGTATTCAATTGCCGACCATCAAACGGAGGACGGGATGAGATGGGGAAGCAGAAACAACGGCAGCAGCGCATGAATGAAGACGACGAAGCTTCATGGCAATCATTGACTCTGTTATAAATTCATTTCCTACTCTAATAAAATCCACATTGGTTTAAGCTGATCATTTTGATTTATTATCATAATCTAAACACAACAGTATATTGAATATTCTCGAACAGTAATCTTATTACGATTTAATCAGATTAGGTGAACGAACATATATTATATTATAACTGTGGATTATTTTGAGGTCATACAATCAATATAGACAAGAGTTGACTATAGGGATGAGATGTATATAAGAGTTGATTGATGATAGAGATGAACTCATCAATGACATGTGGAGTGGACAAAGGTAACCAAAGAGCTTATCATTTGATGTTTCATTTGACTTAACACAATACTACCAACTTGTTCATTGTAGTAACATAAGTTTAAGATCAGGGGATAGATATACTAGAAGATAATGTCAATTATTTTGGATCTTGAGATGCCTCTCTCTCTCTCTCTCTCTCTCTCTAATTCTCTCTCCTTAGATGCTTCTGACTTTTCAAGGAACAACAACCATTTGGAGTCTTTAGTATGTCTGCATTGGATGGTAGAACATCTCTTTCCTTGAATGGTATGCATGAGATACATCTATTTTATGACTCACATGAATGACCATTTCATTTGATATGGACTTGACTTAATTGAACATATAAACTACATTAAGATGTAGAGTGATTTGTCACACCTTATGGTTTGTATTGTTAAAAAGAAAATCAAATATTATTTTATTTTATATGGCAGGCAATTGTTTGACTTTGTTTCACATACTCACATTCAACATTTCTTTTATTTATTTTTTGGTTCATTTTATTTTATGGGTCTGATAGATTAATACTAATTAGATTTATTAATTGTATATAATGTCTGGATTTTATAGCCAGCTAACATTATGGTTTTAGGTCAATGAATGATGTGTTTCCATGACATCAACAGTCCCACATTTGGAGTTCTCTAAGGAGACAAACCTCTATGTTTTCTATCTCATACACAACTTTTCATTATGTTGTTTTCTCTATAAAACAAATTTATTTAAAAAATCAATAAAATTAACTAAATAATTCTGAGTTTAAGTGGTAAAACTGACTATAACATAACAAATTCAATGAGACAGGCAAGAATTTATGTGATTACTCTCAAATAACTAAAACATTAAAACATTTTCTTTGGATAGCTTCCAAAGAAAATGATTGCTTTTAGTCCACATTTGCCAATTTAAATTTGTGGCAAGAATGTGGAGTGGGTGTGGCCCCAAATGCATCACCAATCAAGGCACTTCACAACTAATATAGGAAAGACAATTATTTCTTCCAAATGGCTATTTAAAATCAATGCTACATCTCTAGAATTAAGAGAGAACATGTTTTGTTCTCAACATATTTATGGTAGGAAGACACTAAATTCTTCAAGTGTTGTACCTATCCACTGTATTATTCAAAACATGAGCTTGAAAAAAAAACTTTTTTTTCAATGATAAGCCACAAAGATCAAATCGAAACCTTAATCGGCTCCGTGAGAAAATAAAACAAAAAACTCTCAACCCCTTTCCTTCATGCATTGGGATAAAAATGATCCTAGGAAGAGAATCCAAAAATACTAGGATGCTCAAAACTCCTCTCCTCCAACTTTCAAAGCCCACAAAAAATCGACAAATGATTCTTCGAAAAATTCGACTTACAAAAGTCTATATTTAGGAATAATATTTGATCCTCCCCAGACCCCGCATTGAAAGAACTATCATGCACTAAGTATCTTTCGAGAAAAGAGAGCTGCCACCCCAATGAACCATCCTACTGATGGAAGGGCAAAACAGATCTGGTGACAAAACAATAGGTCAACAGGGAATCCAGGATTCAATATACCAAACCAAGTCATACCTTCAGCTGTTGAAATGCATTGGCTCAGATCCCACCCTCTACCAAAATCCATTTCCAGCCTAACCATAGCAAAGAAACACCAAACACAACAAACGAAAGCACAATGCTACTCATGATGGAATAGTGCATGCCACAGAGCAGAGCCCAAACTCCCTCCCATGTAGGTGACAAGAACCCTATGCCATCATCCCAAGCAAAATAAATCTGAAACGCACAGCTCAAAGACAGCCAACTTCCAAAAAATTTCGAGAAAGAATCAGGAAAATGCTATATCCAATAGTCGTCGCAATTTAGCAAAGAGAAAGTCACCCATCTTACTCTTTAATGCTCGCTCCTTCCTCTTAATTCAAGACAGGAGGTCGAGTCCCGCCCTTCTCTTTCAGATACTCAGAGCAGTTGTTTTACAGATGGGGCATAAATTTTTAATCACCAACCACTGCTTTATGCAGGCCGTGTGGAAGTCGTGTCCACAATCAAGTCGGCCCAGCTCCTCCCCTTCGATGTATTCTTCCTGTAGTCCAATGCAAATGACTCCTTAGTCCAGCCACTAAAGAAAAAAAGCCTAGGGACTCGAAATGACTCACCCGACAGATGCAGCATGGCTCAGCTTCCTCCGATGGTTCCGACGCAATGGACACATACTTCCGTTGCCGTAGGCAGTTCAGGATTTTCTCCTCGCTGAGTCCAGTGTTGACATTACCGATACGCTCACCCAGTGCCAATAGTTCCTGCAAGTACAATGGAGTCTTGTTTCAAGTTTGAAGGTTCTTCCTCAAGCAAAAGTTGGAGAGTTTGTTTACCTCATAAGACATATTATCTACATCCAGCCGCATATCTCTGAACCTGTCATGGAAGTTGGCACCCCCAGCAAACACTGACTGCTCAAATAGCAAGACATCCTGCCCAAACATCACCAGCATAAGTCGAGTCCCATCATATTACGATGCTTACATTGAAGTAACAGAACCAGCAAGGCAACACTACTGACAATCTCAATATCATAGGTCATTGCTGGTATCATATGAAACACTGCCTTCTGATTATCTAGTTTCAAAATCACAAGGAATTTACAGGATTACAGCATGGTCGCTTGGTGTGTTGCAATTACAACAAAAGAATTGTTGATCATCCGACAACTAGTTTCCTATCTAAAATCCACTAGGAACTCCTCTCTTCTTAACGATGCCATGATTTTAAAATTCAGGCTCTAAGCTCATAAAGAGTGTTCAATACTAGAAGTTTGTTGGTAAATCTTGAGGCTCATATGAATTGGAAATCTCACAGGTCAGGTGCAACATAAACTTAGATCATAGACAGACTGAACAAGGTAGAAACAGGCAACAGTTGACATAGTTTATGATTTTTCTGCAACGTACCTGGTCATCTTTACTAAATACTGGTTAGATATGCAGTTATAATAGTCATTAAACAGCTATTCAATGAAATGATACCATGCAATCAAATGACAAGCTAATTAAGATATGAAATGTTTACATATTTATTTAAAAGTTCAGATATTAAATGAAAGCTAATTAGATAAAAAGTTAGCAATTTAAATATCAACTGTTTGGAATTACAATGATATGTCATATATCTTCTTTTCTAGGGCTAAAATGAAGGCAAGACTATAGTAATCTTGGAACAACTATATTATATTATGTGAGAATAGGGAAACAATTGTGTGATTATTCTGGGAGGTGAAAGTAAACTACACTATCAGAAGTTTGTCTTTCACCAAGCAACTCAATTAGACAAGACCCCAACTATCAAAAGCAGAAAAGAATGTTCATCATTTAATGATACCTGTGTTTCCTATGCCAGTCATACACAAAACAACATGACAACAAAATGGTAATCATCATTTTGTTAAAAGAATAGGACTTTGAGAAACTTGGAATTATGGATAGGTAATGAAAGCTAACCTCAAGCATTAAATTATCCCCACGTCGGATGCGATCAAAAACATTACGAAGCTGTTGCAAAGAGAATCATTCCCATCAATATAAAGAAAATTAAAAATATTTGATTGAATGAATTCTCATTCAAAATTATCTAGATAACCAACAACTACTGACTAGCAATAGTACATTTCATATCCAATAAAATTATTTCTTGCGTTATCAATCTCATCTCTGATGTTTTCAGTCACATGCAGAATTTAGAAAGTCAAATGATCTTCCTATAAAAGACCTTGGCCAGAAAAAATAAATCTTTCATGGTGCTTCTGCAATTGTCAGTTCTCCAAAAGACAACAAAACATCAAACATATATAGATCAAGGTTTCAAAAATCAACCACTGCCCAGTATGGTACAATTTTCTCATGGTACGACAGGACACTGACACATGGACCAAGCGATTTTGCCTGGTTTGTGGACCAACCACACCAGTTTCGGTCCATCCAAAAGCTGGTAAGAGTTTCAGTCCAAAACTTCAAACCTTGCTTTATATACTATAGATATGGATTTGTCCACTGAAACATATGCTGCAGTTTTGCGTGAGAATTTTATCAAGACTCGGAAAGAAAATCACTGGAATATCAGGAATAGCAAGCAAAAGTTGTCTTCCAGTAACTTAGCTTCATTCACAAGTGGCATACGTATTTCTGCTGGTACAAAGGAAATATTATTCTCGGATTTGGGATATCAAAAATAAAAGAGCCAAACTATCAACATTCATCCACTCTATCATCAAGGAATAATAATTAACCCATGCTCAAGAACTTATAAAGAGTGAGAGAACAGTAAGCAGAGAAGAGAAGAGGCAGTCAATTGCTACTTACTAGATACTGTTTGGATTACTATCCTTGCAAAATTTAGTTAATGAGGATCTCAGCTAGATGTATATTCTTGCAGTGGCATTGATTATAGCTGAAATGGCTTTTTTTAGATGTATTTTCCATCATGGATATCATTCTTGAGCAATTTGGGACTTTGGTGACAGGAAGTTGGGAAGAAACCCTCAAGCTAGCTTAGCCACCAAAATCTTTAAAATGTCACCCCAACACTTAAAACTTTGATAGTCAACAGAAATATTTAACAGTCAGAAAGCTCATACTTGGATATGGGGTGTTAAGCCTCAAAAGAATTTCGATACCACGGTCAAAAGAGCAGCCCAGTTCATGAGATTCCAGCCAATGAGTTCTAGGGAGGTTCACAGTAATGCAACATTAGCCCCATGCCCAGAGAGGATGTTTCAATGACTCTAAACCTTCACACCTAGGACAGAGAAGCAACTCAAAGACCAAGATACTATCTGGCATATACAAGAAAATCTAGAAAGGCTAAAACCTTAAGAAGAACCAAAAACACAGCAAGATGATTCACCAACTCTATCAAAGATTAGCTACCACCAATCCACTCTGTTTAAGAAGGATCCCAGAGAGGATGTTTCAATGACTCTAAACTTTCACACCTAGGACAGAGAAGCAACTCAAAGACCAAGATACTATCTGGCATATACAAGAAAATCTAGAAAGGCTAAAACCTTAAGAAG